ATTTCCCCCCCCCCCCCAGTGGACTCGGCTGCCATCATAAAATTTTTACTCTTGTTTGGGACCATTAGAAGTGGTTAAAAGTTCTTACTATGCGCCCCTCGGTGGCTTCTCCGAGCAATCCCCCAAAGGTGATGACAGGTGACATGCAGGCACAGTACAGGAACAGAAAGGAGGCCAAACACTGTAAGCTGAGTGCATCCCGGTAGTCGCTCCAGTACCAGGGGGCCTTCCGCTTGATGTCCAGCACCAAGCCCCCAAACAGCCTGCGGAAACATGGCAGACAGGCCTCTAACGCAGTCCCTCTCCCAGGAAAGCGTGTCAACAGCACACATCTGAAAGCACTTCAGATGTGCTCTGAATTAGAGGTAATATTTTGGCTTCAGTGTGACCCCAAGTTCAAGAGATCTCTCTGGGGCCAGCACGGATTCTATCTGCAACCAAGGGCCTGAGTTCGAATGATTATCCCAAGCGTAAAAGGAATGAATTTGGGTGTGCATATTACCCATTCAGTAAAAAGTTCCCAAAATTCAACATGAAATTAAGTAATTAGCTTCAAACTTCAAGTTCTGAGATGTTAGGAAGAAAGGTACAAAAGCATCAGGGTATTAAAATTGTTAGTTTTATTATACATTTTCTAGATACAAAGCCCCTATCACATGCACTTTCTTACTCTGACAACTGCCCACCTTACTCTTGAGAAATTAGCATAATAATTCATTCATGCAGTTGACAAGTAGTAGTAGACACTTCATGCCAGGTACTGGAGATGCAGCGGTAGCAAAGGTAAACACAGCCCCTCTCTCTAGGACCAACAATCTAGTGCAGGGGACAGGCAGTGTTGCGAGGGAGCAATTGGCAGCAAAGAACAGGGACGGGCATTGCGGTGGGGACTGGAGAATGAGCCAGGAGTTAGCCAGATGAGGCGGCGGGGCTGGCATGGATGACACCTAGGGATGAGAGTGCATGGCGGGCTCAAGGTGCTGAAGGAGTTATGGCTGGATAAGACAGTGTGAGGGGCAAACACCAATAGACAAAGCTGGAGATGCTGGAAAAGCTGAGTCACAAAGGCCTTGTAAAAAAGGAATTAGAACTTTCTCCCAATTGTGTGTCAAGTACTGAAGGACTGTAGACAGGGAAGCAACAAAAGTAAGCAGGCATTCTGGAAGGATCACTCTGATGGGGGTGTAATGAGTGGAACGTAGGGCAAGACAGGAGGCTGTGGATTGGAAAGAGGAGAAGTGTGTGTATTCAAGGGCTAATCAGGAGGCAGAATTAACAGGACTTGGTGGCAGGACCTCAGGACCCCTCTCCACTTCCCAAGCATGAGACAGATCAAGAGCAAGGTGTCCTACACCAAGGAGGAGGAGGAGTATTCCCAGACTGGGGCACTTTTGCTAAGAGTGGAATCGCTGCACCAGGGCAAAAGCTGTTAGGTGAGTAACGAAGAGAGCCATTCAGCGTTCTACAGGGCAAATTACCTAGTTTCTTCTACACATGAATGACACAGGAAGAAAAAGGAGAGCTGTTACAGAATGGGAACATAAAAACCAAATGCAAACCTCCATTGGATCCTACGTCAAACAAATGAACTCTAAAAAGATGTCGCTAAGACAACCACAAAAAGGTGAATATGGACTGAGCATGAGACAATTTAAAGAATTATTGTTAATTTTGTTAGATTTCATAATGGCATAATAGCTGTTTTTCAAAATGTCCTTATCGGACAGGGATACCTGCTCAAGTAGTTACAGGGGAAATGACATGCTACTGGTGATGTGGTTTAAAATAATCTAGAAAACAAAAACAAAACAATTAAGTGGGGGAGAAACAGATGAAACAAGATTGGCAAAATGTTGATAACTATTGATGGTCACGTGGGGGGTTCATTACACTGTCCTCTCTTCTTGTTTATGTTTTCTATAGTAAAAAACTAAAAAAACAAAAACAACAAACAAGAAACCGAGCTACTCTCTCACGAAAGGAGGCTTGGCTAGCTCTCTCTCTCTCTTTGCCCTGTGTCACACAAGGCCTGGGACCTGTATGCCCGGGGAGAAAGCCCAGGCAGCTCTCTTTCTCCATTCAAAAGCCCCCTCTCTCATCTAGCAGGTGGACACAGGGCACATGCTGTTCTACTTGACCCACTTGCTCTTTTCCTCTGGTTTGAGGGGCACAGTTGGGATTCACCCTTCTTCCCCTTACAGCACTAACATCACAGTCTGGGTCTGGGTTTAGGGGAGAAAGGCAAAGCCAGCCTTGTGAGCTGCTTTGGTTTTAGCCTGTCTAGCAAACCTAGCTGAGGTAAGGAGCCATCCACAGGGTCTAACCTAGAGCATAAGAGTTCCGCCTCAGGGTTTGGGACCAAGGTTACAGTCTGTGATAAAATGTCACTTGGTCCTGCTTTCTCCTCTGAGTGGATAGCCCCTCAAGGACCTTACGGGCAACCGTGATTAGTCTGGGGCAAGATTCCAGTGTTTCTAGGTCCTTAGCCAACATAGCATCTTTAGTACCGTGTGAATATCACCTCCCGATCACCAATGACCTTCCTCTGAAGGGTATTATTCTGGGAGAATTACCTTCTACAGTAATGAGCCTCACCCTATGATGCTGCCACGATTGCTCCTCCTGGATGTGGGAGGCTCATTATTCAGGGAGGAGTGTCTGTGAGTAATGGGCAAAAGATTTATGTGAAACGGACTGATGAGAAGCCACAGAAAGGAAGGACATCTGTCTGCCTAGTGATTGAAAGGGGAGAGAAAAGATCTGAGGCTCCTATTGATGGTATAACTATAAATTAACAAAATGATTTCCGAATACTGTTTATGGCGTCAGCCTCATCCCTCACTCACGCAGACCGTAACAGCACATCTAGCACAGATAGTAATCAGACATGGATGCTTCCCTCCACATTTGGGACTCCCTTTTCCTTTCAACACTACCCTTGGTGTTCAAGTTTGGGTGGGGGGGGGATGGGCAGGAGGCACACAGGAATATGAATTTAAGCTTGATGCAAGAAAGGACTTACCCGTGTAGAGGGTCCCTAGGCTCTGGAGCACTGACTTAGGAAGCCCTCTCAGGAGGGCTTTAGGGACAGGCCAGCCATCCATTTGTCTGCTGTGCTTTGGAAGAAACCTGTTTGAAGTGTGGGGGGCGATCATCGAGATAGCAGCTCCTGATTCTTCTCTTTCATCAACTCTTCCCAAACGTGGCCTCCCCAGTGAGGTACACAAATCTACCTTGGAAAACTCCTTTGCAGAGTATCCTCTCTGCCGTGAAGCTTCTGGCCTAGGAACACTCTAGTCAGACTTTCCTCTTCGTTCTGTGTGGGAATGCCTTGGCATTATGGCCTATGTCAACATCAGGGAGGCCCAAGACACTGTCTCAGCCCTGGCTTGGCAGGTCAGATCATACACAACTCAGACCGTTCTCAACTTTGCCTCCTTTCCCGTCTTCTTAGAGCCTACACTACCGCATCTTAAATACCTCTCCATCCGACGAGGATGGCACCCCCAGGTTGTGCCCCACCTCAAAGAAACACAGCTAAAGGTATGAAGAATTATAAAGCCCAGGCTAATGCATTTTTAGTCGGTGAAGTCCAGGAAGGTCCAGAAAATTCTAGGATGTCCATCTGCAGGGGAAGGTTCACGTTCACCCCTACGTAATTTGAGATTGGGAAAAGAGCCAGAGCTGGCATGAACTATGATCCCCAATATGAGCATTAGGTCACCTGGACTAAAAGGCTACAAGGGGGGGAAGGTCTTGTGTCTTGAGGACTGAGGAAAACTTCCGGAGCTCGGGAAGAGGCAGCATCTCCCACAGTAAGCAGAGTGAGGCTCTGAGTACAGATGACCCTTCCTTTCAGCTGTGTCAATTCCAGCAGCTCCTCACTCAACATTATGGGAGAACTTTCCTCAAACCCCATCTGAGTTTGTGAGTAAAGGTACTTCGGGTTGCTGATTAAGTATATGTCGGTCCTGGCTCTATGGGATTTTCTTTTGGGATGATAGGCACCATTTCCAAGATTCTATAACTGTTGAGATCCAATCTAATGAGCTCCCAAACCCCCATGTGGAATTGATTATAAGTGACTGCCCGCCTAGTTTATTCTCCTCTTTCTGACACCGAAAGAAAGATGAGATCTCACCTCTGCGTGGATTATGTGTTTGGACGAAAGCTGTTGGCTTTACAGTCAAAAGGATAAATCATAACTCTGAAATTCTATCAAATCCATAACCCAAGACCCTTCCCTTAAAAAACACCACCTTGGGATCTCCCCGGTGGTGCAGTGGTCAAGAATCCGCCTGCCGATGCAGGGGACACGGGTTCGAGCCCTGGTCTGGGAAGATCCCACATGCCGCGGAGCAACTAAGCCTGTGCACCACAACTACTGAGCCTGTGCTCTAGAGCCCGCGAGCCACAACTACTGAAGCCCTCGCACCTAGAGCCCCTGCTCCACAACAAGAGAAGCCACTGCAATGAGAAGCCTGCGCACTGCAACGAAGAGTAGCCCCCGCTCGCCGCAAGTAGAGAAAGCCCACGCGCAGCAATGAAGACCCAACGCAGCCAAAAATAAATAAATTTATTTAAAAAAAACACCACTTCATCTAAGACAGTCTCAATCCTGGAAACTATTCTAAAGACAGATGCTTCCTTCCAACCGCTTTTCAATACCAGGCCCCTCCACCCAATTCGGACCTCTTCCAACTGTAAAGAAAATGTGAAACTTACTCTTGGAGCTTGCTCCCTCTTTTCAGTGACCCCTTCCATCAAAAGCCTCCTCCTTTCCTCCGGTGATCCCTCCCCAGAGCCCAGTTATCCTTCCCCGCCCTCTAATACGTTCCTTCGACCAGATGCATACTCCCCATGAGGACACTGCTGGTTAAGTGCCATTCTCTCCTGCTTCTCAGTCTCCTCTCCTTTCTCTCCCTGAATTTCCAAGAATGCAAAACTAAATCGCTCTCCACAATTAAAAACAAACAAACAAACAAACTTGAGTTTCCATTAGGCAGGGCACTGAGGATAGGGAAATAAGGAAAGCAACTTCAAGCAAGGAGGAAAAAATAAGGTGAAAGCAATAGAATAGAGGACGGTAAAAGCTCCTTTCCGTCATCTGAGTCCTGTCCCGGGAATCTCCGCCCAACAGATCCTTCTTAGACATAAGCACAACTTACAGAGCCAGAGCCATAGACTGAACCTTCTCCCACGATCTGGGGGACACCTCTGGATGCCACTCCAACCCAAAATACCATCCTCTTTTACTGCCTCCCTACCTGGAATATAAAGCCTCCCAGCCTGGGGACCTGCTTTCCTCACCTACCACAGAGAACCTCCTCCTTGGACATCTGTCCTAAAATCTGGGCCCAGAAGAGCAGGTTGCCTACTCTGAGACACACACCTAAACTAGTACCTATTTCCCTACCTCAAGGGGTTTCTTAACTTAACCATTCAATATTTATCCATACCTTGTCCATTCATGCTACAGAACAGACATCATTCTAAAAGCATTCATTCACTCATTCATTCATTCACCAGATATTAACTGAGTGCCTACTCTGTGCAGGGCACTGTGCTGGGTGCTAGGAATATAATGGGGTCCCTGCCCTTCTGGAGCAAACGTTCTGGCAGGAAAGACATCAAATCAATAAATAGTAATAAAGTATGATCAGGACTATAACAGGTGGCTGGGGGGAGGGTGGCAGGTGGGCAGGGGACAGAGCTCAAAGCTGGGACACCACCTAGCAGGAACACCTAACCTCCTCTAAAGAGTGTCCTGCAAGGCTCTCCAAAGGAAGTGACACCTAAGCTGCGTCAAAGGATAAGAAGCAGTCAGCCAGGAAATGAGGAAGGGGACAAGTGTTCCAATCAGAGGGAACGTGTTCTGTCTCCCCTCCTGGGGCAAGGCCAGGAGGGGAGACAGAACATGTTAGGTGGTTTGAGAAATTTGAATGAATGAATATAATATTTGATATATTTGTAACGCTTATAGTCAGTGGTTCCATTTGAAAAGTCATTCCCAGCCAATAAAGATACTACAGAGAAGAAGCCTGAAAGTAAAGAGGATGCCTCATTCCTTTATACAATTTCTGTCCGGTAAGCAGTATAAGCTGTGAAACATTCCAGAACTTACCGCCCAGTGCGTTGAAGTTCTGGCCCGCTGTGGCCCCCATGTGGTTCCGGTTCTATGTGGCAAACATTTCCATTTGGAACTCCAGGCATTTTCCTTTTCTCCTTTTAACAGAAGACCGCAAAATTAACAAACTCAGCCCTGTATTCTGTCTTTCCTGCTGGGGGCGGGGTTGGTGATGAGAACATCCAAAAGCAGCCCCCAAATAGCCAATTGTTTGTTATAGCTTTCAAATGCATCTACTGATTTGGAGGAGTTTACTGACTTTCCTGAAAAAATAAAATAAAAAATTTCTCCTCCTCTCCGCTGATACCTAACTCTGTCTCACCCAGAGACAGAAAAGTGGAGGCTTTGGCACCAGATGGGACTTAAGTTCAAGTTTCAAACTTGTGTGTAACCTTTACCTTAAAACCTTGAAGATAGTTTTTTTATTCCTCATTTGTAAAACAAAGAATAACAATACCTATATGGAGATGTCACTGGGAGGCTGAATTAGCATATGTAAAGCACTTGGCCTGGGGACTAGTGTACAGAAGAAATTCCCTTCCATCTTTAACCTCTCAAAAAAAGTGTGAGCGACTCTATTTGCTCTCTCTATACAACTACCTCTTTTCATTTAACGGCTTCATTCATGATATGCTCCCAAGAAATGTCCTCTCCTTTCCTCTATGCCATTCTACATCAGTCCTTCAAAAGTTGGCTTAAAATTCATCCCAGGGTAATCCTGACTGACCCCATCACACCTGAGCCAATCTATGTTACTGCATATTCATATTTTATTACTGTTCTGACATGCTAGATGCTCAGAAACAGAACCACATCTCAACTTATTTAGCATACACCCCCATGGTCTTTGCTTTGTCCACGGTGTACACTCAGTAAGTGATACTAAGCCACCACTGGCTCATGTGCATACATTACCTGGGAAGGGACATTTTTGGGTGGCTCAATTCTAATGGAGGGGTCCCACTCCCCTGGAGGCAGCACCGTCACCTGGTCTAGGAACTCGTCAATCCCTGCCAGGAGATCGTCCCGCTCTTTTGCCTTATATGCCACATCATGAAAAATCTACAGAGAAGAAAAATATCCTCAGGAAAACTAAAAGTCACTTTACTTAAAACAATCACCAATGGATATGGTGAAAGATGAATAAAACCTCTTGATTTTTCTCTCTGTCATGGGGATCTGAAATGTAGATAACTTTAGCACTTAGAGAAGTGCAAGTATAAAACAATAAAAAAAAGAATCTAAAGATGAGATGAGTCAAAAAGAACTAAATATATGTTTATTAGTGTAGAAAGAGATCAGATGACTCTAAAGTTTTATAATTCTGTTATCTCCTCAAAGAATGGAACAAAAGCCAAGATGCATGAGGAACTTTCCTGATCATAATGGGTAGAAAAAACTGGATGGAATTCCTAATAAAGGTTCCTCATATGCCTCCAATATGCCTCCAAACCAAAGACAGCTGATAAAACACAGCCCATAGCCCCTCTGCCTACTAAGACATATGCCTTTTCAAGGCCTTACTTTGTAACTTACCTGAGAAGCACAGTCCTCAGCAGGGATGCAGTGGGGGTTCAGGACCACGGCAGCCGAAGCGTCTAGTCACCCTGGTACATTCACATGACAGTGCCCGAGAGCATCCCCCTGACCTTTATACTAACTGGTCTCATTTACGTGAAATGGGGGTGAGGTTTCTTTATGTAAATAGCTTGGATGTATTTAATTAACCATCTTCTAGATCTAGAAAGTTAAGTCAGCCTTAATATCTTTCTCTCTAGGTATCCTACTTGGCAAAAATAATTTTCCCAGAGAAAGATTTCTCTGCATCCTTGATGATTCAAAAAGGGAGAGATGACAGAGGAAGAAAAATCCCCCAGAGGGCTTGGTCCTCAGAGACGTGACCTGCACTGCTCTCCAGCAAACATCACGATTGTAATTATTTTATCCCCAATGACTAGCACAATGCCTGGCACAGAGTAAATGCTCAATAAACATTTACAAGACGAATGCATGAAAAGCAGAAGTGGTGTGCGTACCTCATCTGTCATGATGGTGGCCATGGATCTGCCAATCTCATGGTACTGCTGACCTTTCCCTACTGGACCCAGTAGGATAAACAAAAATCTGGCAACACACAAAAAGGATTAAATTATGTAAGTAAATATAAAGAAGTGGCATCTTTCCTCTCTAAACAGCAGAACATTTCTCTTCCCTATCAAACAGAAATCATCACAGTACCTTCAATGAAAGGAGACAGACTAATGACGGAGCAATATGAGTAGCCTTGACCTAGTAGCTCCACTGTAGGCACTGGAAGCCACCTGTACAACTCATTCAGTAACGTGGTTATAATTCTCAGGGTTTCCATAGACACAACTCCTTACTATAGGAAGGACACTTTTTCAAAACATGGCATTGTAGTGCAAATTCAAGGTTACCTGAATCTCATTCATTGCTCTAATAAGAAATGATGGGGAGAGGAGACGGATAAGGCAGTTGAAATGATCAAGCCCTGTAAAGGAGTCTAAATTGTGTCCCAGACATCGGAACACTCTGTAATTAATGGAGCCCTGAATCACCTGAATCACCACCTTCAGAGCGCATGAATAGCCTTTTGAACAAATGTGGACATACTTGCAAACCATACAAATCCTGCCGGAACTGTGGAAAGAGACATCAATACCTTTGGTCAGAGACGTTTCCCTGGGATACAGCTTGGCAGAACAGGGAGAGCAAGACAGGCTTCCCATCCCAGCAAGCAAGTGGCCCTTCAACACTCTTTGGTTCTCCATTTCCAAGGTCATAGAAACTGAACCGTCATAGCCTTAAAAGTCTTACAATTCTTCCGCACAGAGGTTGATCAAATATACCCCAGTTTTCTGAGATCACTGCTGAATTTTAAACAGCATTCCCCGAATTAATTAATCCTCCATTTTGGCATTAGCTGGATTCTTCTACCAGAGCACACACAAACCTGCACGCCAGACGGAACGCACTGAGCTTTGCGGTCCAGGTCTTTACCTTGTTGGGATGGGCACTTCTGTCAGGCCCGAGAGAAGGACTGCCGGAGACAGCCTCACAAAGGCGACAACGGGGCGGCCCAGAGAGTCCACCTCTCCAACCAGGACATTCGAGGCCTCTGCCCCAGTGGGAATTTTCTTCATGAAATGAAGGTCGACCTGAAAATCCAAAGCACCCCCTGACAGTGTGGGAGCCATCACCTCACGCATCCATCACCCTCCTCATAACTGACATTCATAAATCATTTTTGATTTAACACGTTTTCTCATAATACTTTACTTGATCCTTACAATAGCTCTGTAAGGTCTAATTAGCCTCACTTTTTATTTTAAAAACTGAATGGAGCCACTGAGACCCAGAGAAGTGAAGTTGACTTGCCCAGGACGACAGAGCTTCTAAGAGAGAGAATTTAAATCCAGGGGCTCTGACTGGAATTCCATTACACCATGCCTCCCCAAAGAAGAACGTTTTTGAAGCTCCAGGTCGAATTGTTTCCGCTTTAAAATACTGGAATGCTTTGTCAGAGGTTTCAGGGAGCCTTATGAGCTGAGAAGTGACATGACACCGTCTGCATTTTGGAAGGACAGTGTCGGGGAGAGACCAGAGCAAGGAGAGGCTGGCGGCAGGGAGATCACGGTTTGAGCCGGAAGCTGCGGGGGCCCCTGCTCCTGCGGGAGGCCTCGGACACCAAGCCACAGTCCCCAAGAAGAGTTTCAACCACAAGGTAGTTTTAGGAGACGGTAGCAAAGATACTGCTTCTGCAGAACCCTTGGAGGCTAAGAAGGAGCTACTGGAGAGCAGGTATCAGAAAATAGTTCTGAAACACCAGGAGGTGTGTGGCAGGGAGGATTATTAGTGGCTAGTGGGTTTCATCATGTTGAATCTGGGGAACAGGCTGATGAGTCAGAGAGGTCTGGGCTGGAGAAGGTAGAAGACATGAGCAGATAGATGGGCCTCCTTTTCTGCAGAAGGGGCTCTGGTCCTGGAGAAAGGGTGTTGAAATGCCAAAGCTTATCCAGCTTCCAGCAATGAGACTCTGGGTTCCACTAGAGATCTGCTTAGGCCTGTAAGCCAACTTCCACGTCTCTGCTCACCTTGCTTAAGTCCACGGGACTGTGTTCACAATTCATTCCATTTTTTACTTCAAGACTTGTAGTTGGAACGGACTGAGGAGACACAGTCTGACCTATTTGGAGAAAATCAAACAGAATTCTCCGAGTCCTGCCCTTTCCCCCTTTGACACGCCCCGTCCATCATCAGCTGGCTATGACTATCTCACACAGAGAAGTGGTCCAGATGACTATGAAGCAAGGACCCACACATACCTATCTCCTTACCTACCAGTCAGCAGTAGAGCAGGGAACAGAGAGGTCTTACTACTCCTGCACCCGCTTCCTGAACTATCAGTGATCCTCTTTTCTTCCTCTATTAAAGGCAGTCATCCTTAACCAGGAGTGCACACCATAAAGTCCTATGGAGAACTTTTCAAAAACTTAGACTCCCAGGCACATCCCCTGCACACTGTGATTCAGTAAACAAGGAGACCAGCATAGATTAGGCCTCAGAAAAGGAAACTAGTCAGCAGCTGAAATTCACTGAATGTTTACAACCCACCAGGCACCTGGCTCCAGGGCTTTACATGGATTAATTTATTGAAGCCTCACTATAGACTGAGGGAGCAGATCTCACTATTATCCTTATTCTACAGAGGAGAAAGTAAGACTTAAAGAGGTTTCGGAGGTTGCCCAAGGTCACACACTTTGCAAAAGGTGAAGCCAGAATCTCCAGCCTGGAAATCTGACTCAAGAGTTTACACTACGGCATTTTGCCTCCCTAATCTAAGACATTGGTTTACTTCTAAAAAGCTCCAGTTGAACTTCTCTGGCCCCGAATTATCCCTAATGTGGCTACCTCCCCAAAGTCACATCAGTTCTGAGGCCATTCTGGGGCACAAACTTCTCCCCTGGGGTCCACTGAGATCTATCTGAGGCATGCATCCCTAGTGCCACAGGAGATGACCGTCACCAGCCCCAGCCACCCATCGTGTCTATCCACCGAAAAGGACTGTGTCTAAGTGAGCATGAAAGCATATTAGAGAAATATAGCCCCTACCCTCTAGTAACTTAGCATCTCCAACTAGTTCCTAAATGTCTTATTAATCGAAAGAGAAAACAGTTACTCCTAATAATCTTACCATGTTTATCCATTGAATGTGGATCAGATTGTTTCTTGCCAACCTCAGCAAAGGAGCGAACAATGGGGATGAGGTTATTTCTCTTCTTTTCATTCTGATGATGATGCTTTTTGAGAAGGGCTTCCCGTACTTTAACCCTCATGCTGTCATTCAGGTCACTGAACAGTTCCTGCTGGTCCAGGATCAGGTCTGGAAAGCAGGTGCTAACGTGAACACTCAAACTGATGGTCAGTGAACCCAAAGAGACCAAGGTCAAGTGGGGTGAGGGGCAAGGGACAAGGAGTAGGGGGAAGCAGGGTCACTGATGTACAGTCTCTGCTTCAGTGCCTGAAAGAGCTATTTGATGATAGCAGCTGTGACACATTATTCGTTATTCATGTAACAAATCATTATTATTAGAAATGGAAACTATTGAGCATTTAACATGTGCCGGGAACGAGACTCTGAACTTTTTACATAATTATCTAATCTAATCCTTATAAAAAACCCTGAGAACTAGGTGGCATTATAACAATTTTTACAGCTCAGGAAACTGAGGCCCAAACATTACAAAATTCCCCAAGGTTTCACATCTAGTAAGTTGCAGAGCTGGGATTCAAACCCAAGACTGTCTGACTCAAAAGTCCACATTATTACCATTTTGTTCTGTCATCTGCCAAAGTTCCTCTACGTTCCCTTTCTCAGAGATGTTAACATTGCTGTCATTGTCAAGAGAAACTATAACTGTAGAACTCCAAATGACTATGTAAAAGTGGAACTTCCAAGAATAATTAAGTTGTTCTTAAGTACCCCACATGATTACCACCAAGCATCAACCTTTACCTGCCAAGCCTGGCAGAACTGAGGGGGGAAAACGTCCCAATACCTGCTACTGAGAGGCAGTCAGCACAGCAGTTAACAGCATGGGTTCTAGTGCTAAAGGTCCACAGTTATCCCACTTCTACCACTTTCTGTGTGATAACCTCTCTGTACCTCAGTTTCCTCATCTGTAATATGCAGCTAATATTATCACCTACCTTAGAAGACGGTTATAAAAAATTAATGAGATGTATAAAGTGCTCATTCACAGTAAACACTTGAGACTGTTTACTTATCCTTATCACTAACATGAATATCTCAGGTACCTGATGTGAAGAACCACAGCAGTTTTACTTCAACCCTACATACCCATTCCCCCACCTCCCCAAAACTCCAACCTATCTTCAACTCCAACTCCATCCATGACGATCCAAGTGCTGGAAGCAATAAATAAAGAAAATTTGTTTCAAATATTAAGTGCAAGATCCAGGTTTCTCTATCTTTAACCTTTATATTGATTGGTTCCTTGCCCCATATTATAAACATGCTTCAGGATCCTTCATCTTGGAAAAAAAAAAAGGAGAATGTCCACCCCAGGTCTCCCATTATCTACTGCCTCCTCTCTCCCTCTCTTTCTCTTTCTCTCTCTCTCTCTCTCCTATCTCTTAAAGTTCTCAAAAGAAAGATTCCTCACCCCCTGCAATTTGGCTGCCTCAATGAAACTGCTTTTAATAAAATCATCAACAACCTTCCAGTTGCTAAATCTGGCAGATGTTTCTGGTCCTTACCTAACCTGACCTCTCTACAGCATCTGACACCGATGAATTGAAACTCTCTCCTCTCTTGGCTTTCGTAGTGGGTAGAACGGTGCCTCCCCACAAAAGATACGTCTATGTACTAAACCCCCAGAACCTGTGAGCATGATCTTATTTGTGGAAAGGGTCTTCCCAGATGTAACTAAGGATCTCAAGATGAGATCATCTTGGATGATACTGACAAATATCCTTATGAGAGAGACACAGATAAGAAGTCCAGGTGAAGACACAGGCAGATTGGAGTTATGCAGTCATGGGCTAAGGGAAACCTAGAGCCCCTAGTAACTGAAAGAAGCATGGAATAACTTTCCCTTAGGGCCTTCGGAGGTGACACCAGATCCCATCAGTACTGACCCCTCCCTGGGTCCCCATGTGATCCCAGAGAGGCAGAATTACTTGGATACATGAGATGGAGAAAAGTTTGGAGAAATTTTTATTTAACCTGTCCAGCCAAACAAAGCCAAGCTGAGGAAAATCCTCACATGCACCCAGGTGTTTATTAAACTCTGTTCCTAAAACATAGTAACTTACACTCACCTGTACCAGGCAACTCCATCAGACATCTCCCCTCCACGTCTGGCTCAACTTCATACGTGTCTTCCCTAGCTGCCATATTTTTAAATCTTTCTTTCACTCTAACCCCCTTTTCTCTGCACAACTCCCAGTTGCCCCTTTCTCTAATTATTACCAAACCAGAGCTCTTTTCTTGCACCGATGGCTATTTTCCCCACTAGAAGGGGAGCTCCTTGAGGACAGAAATTGTATCTTATCTTCATTCCCCTGTGCCTAGCACACTATCAAGCGTTAATAGATACAAAATTAACGTTTGCCGAATGAACAGGCAAATGGAAGACTTCACACCATGTCATTTGTATCCCATAATAAGCCTGTGGAATAGGTAGGGTAGTTTCTTAGTTTGAAACCCATCCCATAGCTGAGGGCGCTGAGGGCGGGAAGGTAAGTGACTTGCCCAAGGACACACAGCCACTTTCTTCTTTCCTCTACACCACTGTTCCTAATTGACACAAACAGTCCTCTGTTTTCTCTCACCTAAACTTACCTGAGATTTCTTCTATGCTGTTCGCATGCATATCCAGAAGGACCGTTCCGTTAATAAGGCAGCTCCTTAGCTCAAAGAGACTGTGCAGTGAAAGGGTTGCGACGTAAGGCTTGCTCCAGCGCTCTCCCCCATCCTCAACATCTTCTTCAAACTTCAACCACCTGGAAGCATTACAAACAGCCAGATGTTAAAGACAGAAAATGAGGAATTTTCAGGAGAGAGTTTTTAACGTAAGCCACAAAGAAAGATACCCAAATAATCATATTGAACACTGTAATCTAATCTATACGTTCAGCGTACACTGGTAAGTGAACAAAGTAGGTTATAAAACAGTGCAAAACTGATTCCATTTTTCTTTAAAGAAAAATTTTAAAATACAAACACACACATGTATAAGACATCAAATGTTTTATTCCTCATTATCCCTGGCTTGGTAGGATTTCACATAATTTTCATCTTCTTTTTGCTTATCTTTATTTTCTAATTTTCTATAGTGAGCACGCATTGCCTATGCAATTAAAAAAATAACAGATCTAATCTATATCATCTGGATACACTGACAAATCACATTAATAAAATGATAATATTTATCTTTTTAAAAAGCCTATCTGGGATCTCCCTGGTGGTGCAGTGGTTAAGAGTCCGCCTGTCAATGCAGGGGACACGGGTTCGAGCCCTGGTCCGGGAAGATCCCACATGCCGCGGAGCAACTAAGCCCGTGCACCACAACTACTGAACCTGTGCTCTAGAGCCCGCGAGCCGCAACTACTGAAGCCCGCGCGCCTAGAGCCCGTGCTCCGCAACAAGAGACGCCACCACAATGAGAAGTCCTCGCACCGCAACGAAGAGTAGCCCTCGCTCGCCACAACTAGAGAAGGCCAGCGCGCAGCAGTGAACACCCAATGCAGCCATAAATTAATTAATTAAAAAAAATAAAAAGCCTATCTGTATGACCTTCAGACGTTGGCAAAGACAGAATGGCAAGGCTAATTGCCTCCTTGCTTGGTACCAGGTTGACTGGCTTGTTTAATCCTCTCTACCCAGGAAACACACCCACGGATACAGCAGGTATTCAGGAAGCGCTGTTCCAATGAGAGGTGGAGCCACGCTTCGCTGGTTACCCACCTTACCTTCTTCCCCGAGGCTCAGGCACGCCGGCTTTGTATCACCCAGAAGCCTCACTTGTCAGTCACTGCAGGAGCTCTAGACATGGCCCTGGTCAATCTGAGGGCTCTTCTGGGGTTTGGGCCTTAGACAAGCATAGTCACTCTACAACTAATCCAGGGAGGCCTACTGTTGGGCTGGCTATAATCCCAAAGGTGTCTGTGAAGTTGGACTGTCCGATAGGATGTCTCAAAAATTCTGGAATTTCCACTGAATTAAAACCCAAATGATGCTATGGTTCGCGCACAGGAAAAGGCTGGACCTACGCTATGTCTGCTGGGCTAGGTCTAAACCAAGGCGGCCCCCTCAGGCATCTTATAAGCCAGACCTTTAATATCAAGAGCCCAGGAGCTAGTAAGAGAGGACCCCCTTAACGTTCTGTGTTTCCGTCACCAATCCCGGGCTCAAGGTCAACTGGCATAGGTATTACCACAGGCATGACCAAGAGGCCAGCATCAAGGCTTCCCACAGAGGACCCTAGAACATCAGTCCCCACGTCAGTCGTCATGTCTCCCATGAAGAAATAAAAGGCAGGCAGCCCTGTCACTCAGGGAAAGGCACACATTTGCCTGCCCAAGCGAATCTGGACCCAGACGATCTCAAGGCCTCACCTGGCTGTCTCCTTCCACTCGGCATCTTCTCCCTCTTTCAGGCAGATCTCATCCAGTTCTGTGAACAGCTCGTGAGGCACATGCTCTTCATCCTCCTCAGTGCCAAGAATGAACTGAACACGCTGAGATGGAGTGTCTGGAAAATCAGCCACGGAGAAAGGTCTGCTCCCAGCCTCAGCTTAGAACAGAAATAGCATCCTGCCATACTCAGCGCACCTGGGGGCCTCACAACTTCAGGAACATACAGAAGATAATCCTGAACTCAGGTCAAAAAGTTCTCTTTATTCCCAGAAAAAAAGCTATTCTTTGGAAGCAGTTTCATGGGAGGAAAAAAATTATTAAGTAAGACCATTTGAAGAAAACCCAGGAGAAACTAGAAATCTGATGAATTTGATCAAAAAGAATGGCTAATTCTCTAGAAAATGATTTCACCTTCTATGATATTGATTTGGGGGGGCCTGAACTGTGAAGTTTTCAGGAAGATACTTTTGATTCTCAGAGGCATTTCTTCTTCCTGGAAGCAAGCTGGGGAAAGTCTATGGAAGAGAGTCAAGCCCAGCCCCTGCTCCATGTCCATCCCACACCCCTTCGGCCTCACCAGGCCTCCCCGCATGGACACCCACCAGCCCTCCCTCCCGAGGTGTTACCATGGGCCAGGGCCTCGGGGCCTTCCTCCCCCTGGCTGGCTCCCTTGCCCCGCCCTCGTCTCCGATGCTTCTGGCCATGGGTTCGGTGGTGCCGATGGCTCTGCCGGCCCAGCGGCATCCGGACCCCCACGTACAGAGTCCTATGACCTGAAAAGAAGCAGAAGGTCTGTGGAGAGAACTCCTTTAAGAAAAGGAGGCTAGCATATATGAGAGGGGAGAAGAAAAAGAGTACAGTCCTTTGGCCTGGTCACAACGCTGTAATGACAAAACTTCAAAGACCTCCAGGACTGAAGCTGTAGAGATGGGGGAGTTGAAGGTCTCAGTCCTGTACGTGGCTGCAAACCTCACAGGAATGTTGTTAAGATCAAAGGAAACAATGGGCGTGAACATGATTTGCAAACTGTAGAGTCCGAAACAAACGCTAGTTGTTGCTACTACAACGATTTGAGCAATTGATAAAACGTGATGCAGTCACGCCACGACACCTACAGCAGGTCTCGGCAGGGAGGCCACTTCCATTTGAGAAAGTGGGTAAGCGCTCAGGTCAACCTGCCCAGGTCCAAATTCACTAGCCGTGTGACCCTCAACAAGTTATCTAATCTCTCTGTGACTGTCTTTAGAAAAAGGAATACTGAAGCTTATTCTTTAAACTCAGAAGATCTTTGTGAGAAGCAAATAAGAAATGTATGTAAAATGCTTAACACGATGCCTGGAATCAATTTTAGCAGCCAGTAAATTCCAGGATCAGTTTCCATTATATTTTTTCTGCACCATCTAGAATAGCAGTGACAGACTAGTTACAAATCATAAGGGGCATAAGACTGGGAGCATAAGGGAGAGATATTAAATATTTTACAAAAAGAGGGGAACACAAGAAAGTAAGTGATCCCATAGTGTTCCCCTCTAGTTCCTCCTTCCTACTCTCTCATTCCATCCATAAACATTATTTTGTTTTGTGCCTGACTTCCAGGCCTCTCTCACCTCCACCTGGTTTCCCCGGTCTTCCTGGTGAGCCTGGAGCCCAGAATCAGTAGCTGCAGGGATGCTACACCTGGATACACAGAGCAGTGATCTCCCCCCCATTTCTGCCCAGTTACTGCTGCTCGACACTCTGGATCTCAGGCTGCCCCCGCACATCTTCCACCACAGGAGCTGTTACAGTCTTTAGTCACTGTCTTCAAATCCACAACCTTACCCACAGTTCCTCTGAGCAGGTGACCTTGCTTCATATTGTACTGAAAAGACAGGCCCTGTCCTGGGAACTCCCTCCATTCTCAGTCAGGCTCACTTTCCTCCTCCAGCTTTTCCTCTTTTCCAGGCTAATGAGCATCGCCTCCCACCCCACTGGGTCCCACTCCATCAGTTATCCTCAGTCTCTCCTTTCCATCCATTCCTTCCACGGGTTTCTCCAGTCCCTCTTACCTAAAAAGGAAATATTCCTACCATATGACCCAGCAATTCCACTCCTGGGTATAGATCTGAAAAACACAAGAATACTAATTCGAAAAGATACATGTACCCCAATGCTCATAGCAGCATTATTTGCAATAGCCAAATTATGGAAGCAAACTGAGTGTCCATTAACCGATGAATGGATAAAGAAGATGTGGTACATATATACCACGGAATACTACTCAGCCATAAAAAGAATGAAATAATGCCTTTGCAGCAACATGGATGGACTTGGAGGGCATTATGCTAAGTGAAATAAATCAGACAGAGAAAGACAAATACTCTGTAATATCGCTTATATGTGGAATCTAAAAAATGCAACAAACTAGTGAATAAAACAAAAAAGAAGCAGGCTCACAGATATAGAGAGCAAACCAGTGATTACCAGTGGAGGGGGGGGGGGGAGGAGGGATAGGCAATATAGGAGTAGGGAGAAAAAAGGGTTATTATGGGATTATATGAAATCATGTGTGTGAAACTTTTACACACTATAACGATTTAAAGAATCTTTCATTCAATAAATAAATATTTTAAAATAAAAATAAAAACGAAACGTTCCCAGTGCAGTGCTATTCTCCCAAGTCTCTGCCTGTCCCCTTCCCTTCTCCATTAAGCCATGTTCAAGAACAGTGTACCGACCTAGCTCCCTTTCCTCACCATCCTCTTGTTCCACAGCCTCTGCACGTGGCCACTCTCCACTGAAACTGCCCTCATCAGGGACACCAAAGCCCACTAAGTCACCAAATCTCTATCATTATACATCTCTCTCAGTTCAACTGAAAAGACTTTCTGGAGAGCCCACCATGCTCCAGGCAGCAGCCCCATCCCTTGACTATTTCCTCCCCCTGGTGGTCTGGGCTTCTCCCATCCCTGTACCACTGCCTTTCCTGGCTCACTTGCACTCCTCTGCTTCTCCAGCCTTACCACAATCCACCAAAGGAAGGTTGCCCAGGTTTCTGTCCTTGGTCCCTTTCTTCTCTCTTTTTAGTGATATTTGCTCTCCTGATTTCAAAGTTTACTTCTGCAAATGATCCCCAAATCTTTATCTCCAGTGACTCAACATGTTCCAAAGCAAACTCACCATCCTCCATCTGAAATCAGACTCACACTCACTTCTTCTGTTTCTGTTCATGGCATTCTCTCAACTTTCCAGGCTTGAAATCTCAGCATTACCTTGGATTTCCACCTTGCCCCTCAGCACTCCATCCCAAAGATTACAGATGTCAAGTCTTTCTCTCCTCCCACTTTGACAACAGCAGGGGCCTCCTTCCTGCCTCCCCCATCAATTCGATCCTACAAACAAATCCTCTGGAAGCACTGCTCTGATCACGGCTCACTCTTACAGTTGGGACCCTTCATGCTCCAGCATGCTCGGGCCCCAGCCTCCTTTCTAGTTTTTTCTTCCTCTAGAACAAATTATACATTCAACTCTCTAAAAGAACTGAGTGATCCTCTCAAGAGAGATCAAAGTGGAAATCCCACACATGCTCACACCAAATAAATGTTCTGGGGGAAAAAAATCTAGAGATGTACACCTTCTGCATCTACACCAACAACACCAGAACAGCCTGGTGTTTTTTTTAAAATAAATTTTTTAATTTTATTTATTTATTTTTGGCTGCACTGGGTCTTCACTGCTGCTCGCGGGCTTTCTCTAGTTGCAGCGAGCGGGAGCTACTTAGTTGTGGTGCGCGGGCTTCTCACTGCGGTGGCCTCTCCTGCTGCGGAGCACGGGCTCTAGGCACGCAGCCTTCCGTAGTTGTGGTACGTGGGCTCAGTAGTTGTGGCTCATGTGCTCTAGAGCACAGGCTCAGTAGTTGTGGCGCACAGGCCCAGCTGCTCCGCGGCATGTGGGATCTTCCCGGACCAGGGCTCGAACCCACGTCCCCTGCATCAGCAGGCGGGCTCTCAACCACTGCGCCACGATGGAAGCCCCACAGCCTGGTTTTGACTCCGTCTCCTCCTCATGGCCTCAGCTGACGCTCCCACCCTCACCTCACAGTCTCCTCCACCTAAACCAAACTGCTCTTCCACAGATGTACCAATGCTTTCCGGACACTGACTTGCCTCACTCCTTCAAGATTCACTGCAAATGCACCTTCCTCCTTGGTATTCTTGCTGATCGCCGTGATCAGAGGTGCTGCCTCCTTCCTGTCAACCCTGAGACCTTGGCTAGCATTCTCTTATGAACTTACCTTATGCCTTGCATTAAAGTTAGGCATCTATCAGTCTTTCTCCCGCTATTCATCTGCAAAGCTCCTCAGAGTCCCAGGTCAGACCTCCTTCCTCCTGGAATCCCTCACATAACAAAGCACGGTATCTTCCACGTGGTCATTACTCCACAAATATTCAGAAAATGGAATACCTCCTAGGTGCCTCCAGCAGGAACATAACCCCTTAGGATCCCCTCAGCAGTACACAACCTGAACTAAGAAGGCCTCTGATCTGAAAGGGGTCACAACAGGAACATGTAACCAAAGTGAATGTGTTTCGAGTGGATGAAATACTCACCAGGGCATGGGATGATTGAGAAGGTCCTAGCCAGCCTGAGGATGGAGAGCTTATTCCAGGAAGAGTTCCTGGATAAGGGGACTTTGGGGAAGAGTTACCAAGGAAGACTTTTCCTTCTCTAAGAAATTTTTTTTGGTCCAATCAGTTCCCACAAACATTAGCCAACCACAGCACCTGCCTTTTGAAAACACCAGAGAGACAGGCATAAATGAAAACAAGCCCCAGCAGGACACAGAGCTAAGAATGACCAAGTGGTTATCAGAAAACTAGGCATCAGTTTCTAGGCTGCAGACTTGGAAGCAGGGACTTGGATATTCTGAGTGAAATCAAAAACGAAGACAAACAAATAGACACTGGGAAATGAATACAGCACCAATAAAATCCAGTCCATCTAACGGGATTCTGCAGCCCAATGACTTTACTAAACCAATCCTGTGGTTGCTTTGCTGGCCTTTCAACTGCTCTCCTACCCACACAGTCTTCATCCCCCTCATCTACCTACCTACTCACCTAAATTCTGCCTTCTTTCCAGTCTTTTTTCCAGTTATTGTCAAACCTATTCTCTGGGGACTGTGTGCAAATACAAGTATTCATTTAGTAAAAACTTATTAGAAGATGTAACTTTAGAATTTATTTTTTAAATAAGTATGCACACACGTACAGAGAGCCATCATTAGTGAACTGGGATGGAACCTTGCAGAGCAGGAAAGAAATCACAGCGGGAGCCCACCCTGCAGATGGGACCTGGGCCTTCCGAGGCGGAGTACATTCCGAGAACAGTTTATCAAGCATGCGCACAGAGCTCGTTAGCTCACACGGACAGACGGGTGTCCCAACCCCTGGGCTTCAAGCTGACACGAAGTCAGTAACCGCGGGGGGAGTCTAACATGTGGAGCACATGCAAGCCTTTTTTTTCAACTTATAACTAAGGCCAAATGGCTCTTACCTCTGTTAAAAACTTATTAGAAGGTACCAAACTGACTCTAGGATTCATTAGTCTAGTAGTTAATCAGGAATAATGACCGGCCAGAAAAGACGGAAAAAGCCTTTTCTCTAATTAAAGCCACTGCTCGGTGTTCTTCTGGGACTGGGAGAGTCCACTGAAGCAATCATGGACTATTGCTCTTTGTGAGTTTCTCTTCGGAAATCTGTCCTACTGTTTGCTTTTGACTCTTCCCATGTATATAAAAAAAAGCGATGTTATGGTTTAATGCACCTTCTCCTGCTGATGGAGTTAATTTTTGCAAAAAGAACCCCACGTTTACAAGTCTCTAACAATGTCCAGAGACTACATGTCAGAAGCAGTTCTCAAAATGGTTTATGTCAGGTGGTGGAGAGGGTATAGAACAAAGCGGAAGGAAGACCCAGAGCTTTATCTGCAGCCGCAGAACCTTGTATCATGGCACACGTGGCAAATTAGAACACAGAACAATTTACTTGTCTTCCATCAGAGTGGGACTGATCTCATTCCACGCCTTCAAGAGACAGCACTTCCCTGAGCGCAGCCTCACTGAGCCCTAGGGCTGCCCTCGGGGTGAGTCAGGGCGGGGCCCACAGCATAGCCGATCCTCCAGCAAATCCCAACTTCCTCTTCTCTCCAGAGCTACTTGAGGCCTGAGGCGTGGGCACTATTTGTCCTCCGTTGCCTGTAGTGCTTTTTTTTTTTTAAAGTGCTATAACATAAATAAGATTCTAGTTTTCCAAAAGGTCTATGTATAAAGGACTGTTTTCCCCTAGCAATGCCATCATCACAGACGGCCTTCTTTTACAGGAAAATGGATACTACGTAAGGAACAGATGATGTCATATTGAGAAGATGCTCCTACTGCCAATTACTCAGCTGACCTCTGTGATGGAACCCAGTCCTCGGGATCCAAGAGTGTTTGCCCAGGCTTATTATTCTACTCCCAAGTAGATAAGAGTGTTCATAAATGGTTACCTCTTTGCTGAGGGCAAAGGTCTAGTGGGCCCAGACAGCTAAACTAAAAGTAAAAGTACCCCCAGGGTACAGTGAGATGGTAGGGAGGCAATAGGATTATCAGGGCAGAAGGAGGGGTGGGGCAACACATAAAAATGTTCATATGGGCAGAAGACCTAAATAGACATTTCTCCAAAGAAGATATACAGACTGCCAACAAACACATGAAAGAATGCTCAACATCATTAATCATTAGAGAAATGCAAATCAAAACTACAATGAGATATCATCTCACACCAGTCAGAATGGCCATCATCAAAAAATCTAGAAACAATAAATGCTGGAGAGGGTGTGGAGAAAAGGGAACACTCTTGCACTGCTGGTGGGAATGTGAATTGGTTCAGCCACTATGGAGAACAGTATGGAGGTTCCTTAAAAAACTACAAATAGAACTACCATATGACCCAGCAATCCCACTACTAGGTATATACCCTGAGGAAACCAGAATTCAGAAAGAGTCATGTACCAAAATGTTCATTGCAGCTCTATTTACAATAGCCCGGAGATGGAAACAACCTAAGTGCCCGCCGTCGGATGAATGGATAAAGAAGATGTGGCACATATATACAATGGAATATTACTCAGCCATAAAAAGAAACGAAATTGAGCTATTTGTAATGAGGTGGATAGATCTAGAGTCTGTCATACAGAGTGAAGTAAGTCAGAAAGAGAAGGACAAATACCGTATGCTAACACATATATATGGAATTTAAGAAAAAAAAATGTTATGAAGAACCTAGGGGTAAAACAGGAATAAAGACAGAGACCTACTGGAGAACAGACTTGAGGATATGGGGAGGGGGAAGGGTGAGGTGTGTTAGGGCGAGAGAGAGACATGGACATATATATACTAACAAACGTAAGGTAGATAGCCAGTGGGAAGCAGCCGCATGGCACAGGGAAACCGGCTCGGTTCTTTGTGGCTGTCTGGAGGGGTGGGATAGGGAGGGTGGGAGGGAGGGAGACAAAGAGGGAAGAGATATGGGAACATATATATATGTATAACTGACTCACTCTGTTATAAAGCAGAAACTAACACACCATTGTAAAGCAATTATACCCCAATAAAGATGTTAAAAAAAAAAAATAAATAAATAAATAAAAAATTTAAAAAAAAAAATGTTCATATGATGGAGCAAGAAGCTGAGGTTAGGTGGTTAACGCTGCGTACCGTCCTCCCTTGCAGGCAGTGTGGCAGAGTGGAAAGAGCAGAATTCCATCCCAGCCTCACCTGCTGTTCGGCTAAATGACCCTGAGCAGTTTCCCCATCACATAAAATAGGGATGATGCCTACCTGCCTGGGTTGCTGTGAAGATTAAAAAGACGACTTGTACAAAGTGCCTAATCAAATGCCTGTCACACAAGGGTCATTCAACAAATGTTAGCCTCCCACCTCCACACCCTTCCTTCTTCCCCTTTCTCCCAACTGCTGAAACCCACACTGGCTCCTCTTCCATCTGGTCAAAATAACTTCCAAAGCTTGACCTTGATATGTCTGAACTCCACTGACCTCCACAGAGCCACCCACATAAGTTCTCTTGGTAACAGACCCAGAGGATGAGTCAGCCTGTACAGCTTTGGCTCTCCCATCCAAAGGACAAGTTTTCTCTGGGGACTGTACGACTTTGATGGAAAAAAAAAAAAAACAGCACAGGAACAAGCAGTACAGAGAGAACACTTCACGTGCTGTCTCAGTCATTAGAAAGTTACCGCATCATAGCCTTCAACGTTGCAGGAGATGCTGCAGAGACTGCACAAAGGCTTTTGAGCCAAATGTGGGTTCTCGTTCAAGCTATAGTGGACGCGAGCCTTTCTTTAATAAAGCTGAGCATTGCCATCATTATCAGGAAACTAGGCTCCGTGGCGAAAAGGAAAGCAGAAGGACAGCACGAAAGGGTCATGGCGGGGAGTGGGGGTGGGAGAGGAGAGAAAGGAAGGAGAGCCTTGATAAGGTAAACTAGATAGAGCAGGTCAATTAAAGGGCCTCTTCCTTCCCTTCCACTTCCTTCCCTTCCACTTCCCTTCCACTTCCACTTCAGTGGGTTTTTATACAACTCTAGGCTGTGAACTCTCAGCAAATACGTTACAGGTGCGTGTTTGTTTTCCCTTTTCTTGTTTAGATGAAAACACCAGGCAGAAATGGGTATAGTTAGAATGGGAAGAGCACACATTGGAAATGGGGTAAAAACAGGGTTTTATGGCCAAACTGAGTTTTTAAAACTATTTGTATTTTATTTTCTTTTGTATAAATTTGTATCTATATTTCCAAGCAGTTGTCAAGAATCAATACACTCATCTGAGTGCTTTGACATTCTCAAGGAATAGGTCGTTTATGAATATTTATATTGGACTTTACTGTGCTGAAAGTACTGTCTAACAAGCTGTCTGTCTACTAGAGCCTAACAGTGAGACAGGTTTTATTATCCCTACTTTTATTTAACAGATGAGGAAAATGAGGCTAAGTGAAATTAAGTGATTTTTTTCCCAAGGTCTCACAGCTAGCAAAGAAGAGTTAGGACTCCAACCCAGGTCTCCTGATGGCAAAGCTGCTCCACCCACACCAGGCTGCCTCGTGCTGATTTCCCTCGGTACACAGAACAGCAGTGCTTACCTTCCAACTCTTCTTTCTCATAGTGGATGTTGAGAATTGTACTGGTCCCACCCTGATCCACCACAGCTTCTTCATCTGGTCTCTGTTGAAACATAAATTAGTAGCCACAGTAATACCCCTACATTCATTCAAACACTCATTCAAGTGAATTCCCTGGCTATCCAGTGGTTAGGGTTCCACGCTTCCACTGCAGGGGGCATGGGTTCGACCCCTGGTCGGGGAACTAAGATCCCGCATGCTGCACGGCCCCCCCCCCAAAAAACAAACACTCACTCAAGTACCGTGTGTATGCCACACCCTTTATGCAACACTGAGGGGGAAAACCCAATGGTTTACAGATTTTTTTTTTTTACTTTTTTTTTTTTTTTTACTTTTTTTTGCGGTACACGGGCCTCTCACTGTTGCGGCCTCTCCCGTTGCGAAGCACAGGCTCCGGATGTGCAGGCTCAGCAGCCATGGCTCACGGGCCCAGCCTCTCCGTGGCATGTGGGATCTTCCCGGACCGGGGCACGGCACGAACCCGTGTCCCCTGCATCGGCAGGCGGACTCTCAACCACTGCGCCACCAGGGAAGCCCAAGTTTACAGATATTTTTAATTTCAATCTCACAGTATCTCTGAGATGCAAACATGGCAGCCATTCTTTCTCATTTCATAAATAAGCAGCCAGATACTCAGAAAACTTTAAGTAATTACTGCCCAAGGTCAGAAATACGGTAAAAGGCAGAGCGAGGACTGAGTCCAGGTCTTGTGACCGCAGATCCCGTGCCTTTTCCACCCCTCCCCACTCCACCCATACGTCTGTATAACATGTTGGCATTTTGCAAGTGGTGTCAACCAGATTGTCTCATTTGGTACAAGCTGGTGTCCTTGACCTCTGTTTACCACTCTGTCCTTGAAATTCTCCACTCTGCTCCTCTGTCCCATCCTAAGTCTCATCTCCTTCTTCTAACCATAATTCCCAAGGAAAAGCACTCTATCTTTTGTTTCCCACACTTGAGGCTTACAATTTCAACAGTAGCCTGAAGCTGTGAGGATTGGAATTTGACAAACCGCCAGAATGTCACGCCTCAAGATCCATGTGTCTAAAACCCAACTAATCTGCCTTCCAAACTAGTACCCTGTGCCCATTTATTTACTCCTACCCATAACTCCATCATTTCTTAGTCTACATTTGAAATCTCAAACTTATTTATTCATCCATTCCATGTATTGCCTATCATATGCCTTCCAGGAAACAGTTCCTTTTTCTTATCAAGTCCTCGTTTGCAATTTCTCTCGAATTCACTCTCATCTCTGATCCTCTCTATCCTCCACTGTCCAGCCCTTTCAAACACAGAGGACATTTTTTCAGTTATAGAACCACACTCATTTTCTTCTCTGAGGGCTGCCCCTCAGCCTAGAACTATCACCCTCTCCCTGCTACTCCCACGTCCATCACCAGCAGCTAACACTTATTCATCAGCCCATAGATCTCAGCCTAAATGCACTTCCTTAGAAGGCTTCCCTGACTATCTCCCATTAGTATGCCCCCACAGCACACTGTATTTCTCCTTAGTAATGAAATGTCTCTGCTCCTTAAGGGAGGGACCATATCTCTCTTCCCGTTTCCCCAGCACCCTGCAGACTTTTCATAAAGTAGGTGCTCAATAAATCTTTGTTAAAAGAACAAAGATAACGGCATCTACCTTATCAAGACCCTCACCAGATCCTGAATTATTTCAAATAATTATTTCTCTGACAATCAATTTCCTTTACCAAACCTGCAGCTCTAGCCAGGCTCTCTGATCCTGTAGGCACCATACACATTCCACACTGTCTGGTCATCTAGCAGGTCCTTCCCCAACTCTCCAGCACACCCAAATCCTCACCATCCTTGCAGATCCTGCTCAGATTTCCAGCTTCCGGTTCTAATTTTACTGTTTTATAGTTGCCCACCTATGCTCCCAAATAAGGCAACCCTGAACATAAAGCAATCCATTTTGCCAATGAAAAGATTCAAGAACAGTTTTCGAGGCCAAAACTAGGGAAGTAGGGAAGTAAATAAAATAGTCAAATGTCAATTTACGGTATTTTATTTATGAATTTAGTTTTATAGGCATATTTTAAATTATATATTATTACCACCATGGAATAATCTCCAAGATATAATGTTAAGTTTGAAAAGCAAGGTGGAGCGGCCTCCCCCTGGGGAGTTCGGGGAGCGCAGGGCCGCCGGCGGCGGCGGCGGCGGCGGCGGCGGCGGCTGAGCGGACGGCCGCAGGCGCCGCCGCCTCCATAGCTGTTTACCCGGCTGCATTGTGGGAGTTTGACTTCCGTCGCCGCCAACCGCCGCCTCAGCTTGCGCCACCGCCACCGCCGCCGCCGCCCACGCCATGGGGCCCGTGACTGACGACGAAATCATACGGAAGCGTCTCCTAATTGATGGAGACTGCGCTGGAGATGATCGAAGAATTAATCTGCTAGTGAAAAGTTTCATTAAGTGGTGCAACTCTGGATCCCAGGAAGAGGAATACAGCCAGTACCAACGTATGCTGAGCACGCTGTCCCAATGTGAATTTTCAATGGGCAAAACTTTGCTGGTATATGATATGAATCTCAGAGAAATGGAAAATTATGAAAAAATTTACAAAGAAATAGAATGTAGCATTGCTGGAGCACGTGAAAAAATTGCCGAGTGCAAAAAGCAAATTCTTCAAGCAAAACGAATAAGAAAACATCACCAAGAATATGATGCGTTGGCAAAAGTGATCCACCGTCATCCAGACAGGCGTGAGACATTAAAGGAACTAGAGACTCTGGTAAAAGAATTAGAGCATCTTTCACGTATTAAAGAAAGTGTTGAACATACGCTGGAATTGAGAAGGAAACAGTTTTACGTTCTTCTTACTATCCTCCATGAACTTAAGCAAATACTGGAAAATTATGAAAAGCCCTCAAAGGTAGCAGCAGCTCAAGAAACAAGCATGGAAACTGATCCTAAACCATAGACCAACTAACCACGCACCATTCCCAAGAATATTCAAGTAGCAACATGATCTTAGTGTGTTCAGAACTGGTTGTGCTCTTAAGACTAATTTAAAGTGTTGGCAGTGAACTACTTTGCTTTTAAATATTAATGCACGGTTCATTCATATTTCTTCACACAAAGGAAGATGACTTCATAATATATTTGTTTTTATTGAAATGCCTTTTTTATACTAAAAAAGGTAGGAAGCAACATCCAAAAATGTTTAATAAAATGTTTTCAGGCCAGATATGTTAGTGCTCGTTGGCATTCTCGGTAGTTTTTAACTGGTAACATTGATTTGGTCACAAAATAAGTGGAAGATGGTGAGAAGCTGGCATTTCTAGGATGTATATGAGAAAATGAGTCAATTTCTGGAAATCGTTACCACTTTTGAAAATGAACTCCATGAATAGGCTCTCAGGAGGTCTATGAACTTGTGAAATTATGTACAAAATGTTTGTGATGTACGCTTACTGTGGGAGAGGTTCCATGATAGTAAGAAGCACTGATATCAGAGGTAATTACAAGATGCAAAGTAAATCAATATGTATTACTTTCTAGATCTCTGTCCTTAATACTTGAGCAATGTGGTTGTTAAATGTTTTGTTGAAATGTTTTCTCTCTATCGTTTTGTTCTGTAGGAGTCATTTTCAAGAGTCTTGCAAAAAGGATTTCATGATCTTTTTTAAAAATTAAACTAAATCTGAATCACTTGTAATTGTCTTAAGTATTGAATTGCATGTCTAATACTTCTTAGGTTCCATTCTTATCCATTTATTTTAGTTCAGAAACAAGACACTTTGCATGAATCATACCTTAATAATGTTACATTTTTGTAATTTTAATACAAACTCGAATCTTTAAAAAAATAAAAAAGATGGGGCTTCCCTGGTGGCGCAGTGGTTGGGGGTCCACCTGCCGATGCAGGGGACACGGGTTCATGCCCCGGTCTGGGAAGATCCCACATGCCGCGGAGCGGCTGGGCCCGTGAGCCATGGCCCTGGGCCTGCGCGTCCGGAGCCTGTGCTCCGCAACGGGAGAGGCCGCGGCAGTGCAGAGGCCCGCGTACCGCAAATAAATAAATAAATAATAAATTTAAAAGATAAATAAAAAGCAAGGTGGAGGAAACTGTTTAATTTGCTAACTTTTACCTAAGAAAGGGTGTTGGAACAAAAACATCTGCTTACACTTAAAAACATACAAAGGAAGAATGAGCGAGCCGTAAAAGATGTTCTTAAATAGTTACCTACAGAGGAGGGAGGGAATGGGGTAAAGAAGATAAGGACAGAAACTAAGTTTCTTTGAAGATAACTTATTTTGCACATTTTTTACATAATTTTAAAACAAAATTAATGAATTTTTAAAAATCCAAAATTTTACATTTTAAAAAGCAATTCCCACAAATCAAAAACAAAATGAAAACAAGTGCCAAACTGATGGCATAACTATTCCAAGTAACTTTATACCATAAAGTTATAACTGACTGAACGTTCTTAGTGACATATATCCTAAGAACGTTCTTAGTGACATATATCCTAAGGACAAAAAGAATTTGAAAAGATCTTAAACTGCTTTTTAGTTGTCATATTGTTGGTTGTAGTGTTGGTGTTATTTTTCTGGGACTGTTGTGTACCGTGAGATAAAATAAATGAGTGATTATGTGAACTTTCTCTGGCACTCTCAGTGTGATTGAGACCTGGGGTTCTCAGAAGGTGTGAAAGGAGATACGGTTGCAGGACACATAGTCCTGAGTTTGAATTGGAAGCACTGGAAGTATCAACAGTGATATATCTTTAAATGCTTTAAAATTTGTAAATTTATATTTCCTAGCTCCGTCCAGACTAAAGGCCTAGAAAAGATGATCAGCCAATAGTAATAAGTATCATTAGCACCTAGATTGTGGTCTCTTAAAATGCCATTTTCTCTTAAAAGACACTCAAAGACAACAAGGGTTGTATCAAAAGGGCTCAGGATCCAACTTAGAGAGGTCCCTTGCCTAAAATAGGACAATCTGAACATCAGTAAGGGTAATAACTGTAACAGACTGAATATATCAAATATGTTTAAATCCATG